CGCGCGCGCTCCCGGCCCGCGGGCGCGGCGGGAGTTGCGGCCGCGTCCAGGACACGTCAGGTCGCGGCAATGAAACACAGAGCTCTCCCTGGCACCAGGAAAGCTCGGAACGGCCTCAGCATCAATGCCCTCCTTGCACATCGCCATGGGGCCAGCACACATGCTTCAAACTCAGGAAATAGTCTTCCCAAGACACAGGAAGCAAGGAGTTAGGATGGCACACGGAACAATGGGATGCACGTGTTAGCTGAGGTTGTTATGAGAATTAGGGAATTATCCTGGATCACCTCTTTGGTGCTTCCTATCAAGTAAAACTTATATTGGGTCACAACATATAATCATTCTTTGCAATTATCTATGTTAGCACATTTAAGGCTTAACTAACACTTAACTGTAGCCAAGGCTACGGTTTCACATGCAAGTTAAGTGCCCTAACCGGTATCCCGAGCAAGGACGGCCTCTCCAGAGAGGCTCATCTGGAAGCACAAGCTGCTGTTGTCTCCCATGCATTCACACAGCTGCATGATCAGCCAGTTCAGGGAACTCACAACTGCAAACAACCCCCTTTAGAACACCGGGGCAGAACAAAAACACGGTCAACATCAGGACTAAGAGAAATATCACGAAGGACAGCCTGATTTCCCACTCACTGCCCCTCCAGCAGCAAGGACACAGGCAGCGCGTTCCCAGTGTGATCGGGAATGCAGCACAGTAGTGCCAACATGTTCCCTGAGAAAAGATTAAAAACAAACAAATGAACAAACTCTACGTCCTCACCATGATTTCTAAAGTCTGTGTCTTCATTAGGAAGGCATGTGCTTTTCACAGAAAAACAACCCAAATGCATTTAGCGTCCACTGGGGTTTAAGAGTACAACATGAGCACGCAGCCAGCTGACATCAGCCGGCACTAAATCCGAGAAGTCCTCTATTAGGGGGGGTGAATTGAGCCCTCCAGACCAGCGCCAGAGCCCACGGCACGTGGCAGGGCTGCTCTTGCTATCTGACCCAGATTCATACTGTTCTTTTAACATGGTTAGGATGCCACACGACGCACCCTGGGAAAGAAAATCTTCACGAATGATCTTTTCCTCCCTGAAGCAATTGAGGGCGACTCTTCCAATGTACTGGGAATGCTCTGGGAACACCTCTACTGGGATTTTGCTCAGCTTTTTTGCTTGGAGAGAGTCAGAATGAGCATGTGTAAAACAAACAAACAAACAAACAAACAAGCAAACATCACAAAGCCCATGTAGATGAACAGGGAGCCACTAGAGGGCAAAGCTCACTAAATAATTGTAATCACTACAGCAACAAAGAGAACAGTGTCATCTTTAACCAGTCTCAGCTACCAGTACGCTGCAGTCACACCATGAATTAACAAAACGTGCTGGGTCTCCCAGCACAAGCTCTTGGAGGGAGCTGTGCCCAAACAGCCAGAGCTGGGAGATGTTGGACCGTTCCCACACACGAGCCCAGAGTAAACGGGGAGGCGCCCGCAGCAGCCGCCCATCACCGTGACTCAGGCTGGGCTCAGGCCACGGAAGCTGCTGGGCTCCAAGGGAACAACGTGACTCCCGCCAGCGCCAGCCACAAAACCCAGTGACCTAAATATCAGCTCCCGGAGCGCTGCAAAAGCTCTGTCCCTCCGAGCACTCGAGCGCTGAAACTGGAAAGTGGCTTGTGGGGGAAGGGGAAGGAAAAATAAAGAACTAGGCACTGGATTTGCACGGAAAGGAAAGGCAATTTTCAGAGTAAATGTCTTTGGTTCTAAATCTTTGCTCTCTTGGCCCAGCTAAAAAACAAATCTGATTTTTAAAGACTAGTTGCATTTGGATTCAAAAGTTCAATTTCTTCACAATTTATAGCACCTGCCATATTTTCAGTGAAAAAATCACAAATCCTATAAAAATATTTCCTTAAAAAATAAATGCTGATAATCAGTTTGTTTCCACCACTATAACTCTCTGCTAGACAGCAAGTAAAAATGATACCGCTCAGGTAACTTCTGAATCTAAATCTAAAATGTTTCTTAAACATTATCTTACAAAATTATATAGAAATAAAATAGCATGTATACCTAGGTTTACTAGATTATAATATACAGATATGATTACAATCAGAATATCTAGAAATGGCAAAAGCAGCCTCTCTAATCAAACACAGTGTTCAGTGAGATAGAGATGCAAAATCCCTGTAAAAGACTGTCCTGCAAATAATTCGGCATTTATTAATTTTATGTGAGTAGGGAGCATCTTTGCCATCAATGGGAAAACTCACCTCTCCAGTCGAAGACAACCATGACTTATGTTTGTAGGCCTGACAGGTAACTTGCCTTTTCAACTCCAGACATTAGAAATGTCATTTTCCTGTAATGACTGTATGTATCTACATAGATGCATTTCATGTCTGATATGTTGCACAGGAATTGTACTTCACCAGGCTTTTAAGTACTTAGAAGTCAATAGTCAGATTGCAGATGCCATTGAAACTGTTCTCATCTCTCATTTGTGACTAAACTGTTATCATTTTTTTTCCTATATGTTTAAGGTCTGAAGCACCACTGATGAATCTGAGATTACCTAAATTGATCTAATTAACATTGCTCCATCTTTAAATAGGTTAGTCTATGCTTGACTGATTCTTTACGGATTATTTTAATCCTCGTTGAATTTTTATTTTGAAATATAGCGTCTCTGAACATTTTAAATGCATTTGACATGACTGTCCACATAGCATTATTTGTTCTGGCTGCTTCAAACATCTATTAAAGACGTTAAAAATGTATTCTTACACAATCAGGAAACTCTTTTAGTGTAAGGCTATTTTCAGTTTAAAGGCCTGAGCGATCACGATCCCTCTGCACACGTAAGACTGGCATAAGCAGCCATCAGATTTTCAAGCTCAGTTAGTTCTCTGCAGCAAAACATTTCACAGAAGCAGCTTGTAAAATATTTCAAGGGAAAACCGATGTGCCAGCGCATCCTCAAGGGTGAGACAGCGCCGGCCTAGGCAGCAGGGATGGCTCTCTGCACAGCTCCTGTGTCGTGCTTCCTTCTCCTCGGAGACTCTGGGAAGCTCCCATGAGAGAAACACCGACTAGAGCCGCGGCACTGAGGCAAGAGCGGCCCCATGATGGTGCTCGGCACCTGCTGCTCACGGAGGAGCGAAGCACAAGGCCCCCACTGAACGTTCTTCCATAGGGCTGTGCCCAGGACCCACGCGGGCACGGGCGGGATGTGCCCCACGCAGCCGCCTGAAGGGAAACACGTTGCCCGACAGCAGCACAAGCAGGGCAAGGCAGAATTGGCGACATTTCTCCTCAGGCCTCAGGAGGCCGCCCGCACCCAACGGCCGCCGGCGCCGCTCCGCGATGACAGGGCGCCGCTCCGCGATGACAGGGCGCCCGCAGCGCGCATGCGCAGCCCTCCCTCCCCCC